TTACTGTGTTTTAACCTGACCTCAAATAGCTCAAATAACTAGTGGTGGGCGTGGTTACAAAAAATATATTCATGTAAGAGTAGTCATGCTCTTACAGGGATATTACCTAAGTAAAACTACAGTAAAGTACAACTTCAAAAATATTTTTTCTTTCTAAAATTTGTAATCACTGTCTGCATATACAGTGACATATAAAGCCTATACACACACGCAGACATCTGTTTAAACAGTATCATGGAAAAATACAGGAGTCAGACGCAGTTGAAAACCTTTTCCATTTTTATGACATAATATTGACATTTAAGAAAACTACAAAAATAAAATAAAACAAAACATGCCTTTTAAAGCTAAAATTGGTGGAGAAATGCAACACACAATTCAGAATACATGAATACACAATCTTCGTTTTGGTGACCTTTGAATGTTGGTGACATTTTATTCTAATACATACATTCATAAATAACAATCTTCTCTCTTTATATTGCCTATCTCTATGAATCTCATACATCTACCTGTACCTCATCACATCGCAGTATATTGCATATCTCAAACAGAGGTGGAGTAGTCATTTAATACTCAATCTTTCTCATAGAAATATTCTCACAGAAGGGAGGTAATATGATTGGCTTAACTTAATAAAGGGGATGAAGACAAAGTATGGATCATAAACACTGAGGGTTTTCTCTGTCTTTTCTTAAACAGAAATAAATCCTGCATAGTGTTGATATCAACATCTTGGTATGGGTGATGTGGATGTATGTATGACATACAATTTGTGTGCATTCATCCACCTGAGGTCTACCTTGTTGAATATTTATGGACTGTAACACAAATGTAATATATGGACAGTCATTCTTAAATCCTGGTATCAAGTCCTCAGTGAAAGAACACAACATCAATTTAACCAACATTGCTTGCCAACTGTTTTCTAAAAAACATGCTACACTCAGCAGACCTGGGTCAAATAATTGAATAACTAAGCAGCAAAGGATTTCAATAAATAAGTAAGAATGCTTGTCCAGGTTTTATAACAGAGGTTGCCTGTAAATATTCTCAGTCGTCTGGGTCATGGCACAGACTTAAACCTCCCTTCTATCAGAGAGTCTTTGTCAATTCTGGTAGTTGCCATTGTTGGACCATATAATTGTTCTTTCACAGTCTTGTTAGTCTATTATTCCTTTCAATCAGTAACTGTAATGGCTAGTTAACACAACAATAATAATCAATTGTCCAAAATGGCACCAGTCTCCAATTCGTCAAAATAATTTTAAACATGTTTCTTTAAATGTTCATTATAAAGTTTCAACTGATTTACTTCGCCATAGTTTCTTATGTTTTTCTTTTTTATATTTTGTTTGAGCTTGCTCCTAATCAAATTCAATCTACCTATTGTGCTGTAGTGTCACACCTTACCAGACAGGTATTCTTCAAATACAGTAATACTTGAGAGAGAATGAGAGCTACAGTATAAGCCTTTGTATCCCCCATAGTACAGTGGAGAACTGGCTTAGTAATTTTTAGCAAAATCACTAGCTTATCTTATAACTACTCACTCACTAAGAATTGAACCAAGCGAGGCCAAAACAATTGTAGCACATTATTTTGAAATAGAGGATTTAAATCTGAAGTAGTCAGGTATTAAACAACAAATCTTTGTATGTATTTTGAGAGATATCCATTGTGTCACCATGCAGAATTATTTGAATTAGAGGACTAGATCATAGAAATCATCATAAATGATTTTTGCTTAATATTTATAGAATTGGTTCGGGCAAAGAATTCCATTTCATAATTAAAATAGACTGGTGCAAAACAACTAAAAGTAAATGTATATAAAATCACCAGTCAATCAAATAACTAATACATTTTAGGTCTCATTTTCTCATGCCTTACTTAAAATACACACTGTATGGTTCTATAACTTTGGTTTAAGAGCATTGCCCAAGGGCATGTAGTGGTTGGTGGTGAAGGATCTAAGTCAACAGATTTCTAATTGTAGTATGATTCCACTCCTAACTGCCAGCCCTGTCACATAACCACATTTCAAAATAAGGTAGTTGCCAAGTGTTTGTAAGATGTTCCTAAAAGAGGAATGGAATTAGGAATGGTTCGTTTTAAAACAACCCTTGGCAAACAAGATTGTACCCTAAAGGGCTGGTTATACTCCCGCAGCAGTGTGTCGCAGTGAGCTTGTCGCAGGTATGACGCAGATATTTTTGATTTACGTCCAATATTAAAGCATGGTCTGCGCTATTTTATTCCACACAACAATGCAGGAGGGACAGTCACGAACTAGCTGTGGGTCTAGATACGGCCGAGGCGGTGAGGAAGTGGAAAAACGCAAGGGGCAAGTTTGTGGGACAATGGAGGGACACGAGGGTGAAAAAGAACAGGGATCCAGGTGGAAAAAGGGGCCCAGCGTTTTTGCGCACCTCGCTCTTCTGCTGGTTCATCTTCACGAGTCGTTTTCCACATTGGCGGTCATACAAACAAAACAAGCCGGTAAGGTACCAAAGAGGAAATACGCATAGTGTAGAGTGGACGTACATTTGACCAATCAGAGGCCTCCTGTCTGCGGTCACCTACAATTTCAGAGAGGTGCACCAGAGTGTCTTTGGGAGGGGCAGGGGTACATTTGCATTCACTGCTACACACACACAGACCACATGGTTTCTACAGTATAAATCAGCCTTAAAACAACAGGCAACATGTAACCAAATCTCGAAAATATAGATGCTATATATTGGAGTCATATAACCAAATTTATGCTGTAAACTATGAGTAGATTATAAAAAATACTGTTAACCTCTAAAGCAAGGAGAAAGGTGTTGAATGGATATGTTGCTGTGTTTTACTGTAAACATAAAATATGGATTGAATGCTTTCCCAACAAGCTTTTCTAAAAAAAAAACAACCTAAACAAGTAACAGGAACCTCTTGCATTCTTGCAGACAAAGTGTGCATCTTTGTGATATAAAAGTGGTGAAATAACTATTTTATATTTTGGGGGTGTATACATATTTAGTCTGGGTAGAATTATGTCTTTATTTTTGTCTCTGTGTTTGCATCAGTAATATATTTTTGGTGATTGAAAGTATCTGCACTGCCTGCCAGAAACACAGTCACAGCCAAAATAAAGGTCACATGCTAATATTTGTTGGCCTGCCTTTAGATTTGATAACAGCATTTGTTGTGGCATTGTTTTCAAAGAGTTCTGCAATGTCAAATTGCCACTCATTGTTTCCAACCAGTGTTGCATTTTTTTTTTTTTTTACCAAGATCTTGCATGGCAGGTTCTAATAGTAGTGCCAAGCCTTCTCCAGCACATCCCAAAGATTCTCAATTAGCTTAAGGTCTGGTCTCTGTGGTAGCCAGTCCATGTGTGACAATGATGTCTTATGCTCCCTGAACCACTCCGGCTCAGTTTGAGTCCAATGTTTCCTGCCATTGTCATAATGGAATATGCCCTTTGTCTTCAGGGAGGAAAAAAATCCATTGTTGAAATAAAATGTATATTCAGTATATTTAAGTAGTCAGACAACCTCATTGTTTGAGCGCCTACTGTTGCTGAACCCAGAACCCAGTTTTCTTAAAGGTACACTATGCAACCGGTGTTGATTTTCCAGCGAGGCTCCCCCCAGAGGGCGAAAGTAAAAGTGCACTGTCGTAAATATGCACAGCTGTTCTCCTGGTTTCTCCGTCAAGCCAGGCGTGGTTGTTTTGAGCTTAGCAGACAGGCGAACGCAACGAATGACTAATGCTGCGTTCACACTGGACGCAGCTGGCGCGACAGAAGCAGCGAGTTTACAGGCAAAGTCAATGGTTGACGCGCGTCAAGGCGCAGCAAAAGGTCCCGCGGCGCGTTTTGAGCAGCAGGCGCAGCGCGTCTGAGCAGCTGAAGCAGCGCGTCAGGCGCGTTTAATCATCTGACGCAGGAAGAGAGACACAGCGCTGATGATCAGAGGCTATGATCACTCCTCTTAAACAGTTTATTGACGCCTAAATTAACATAAAATGCAGAAATCTGCCGGCAGAATATGCAGTTTGGATTATTTAGATGAAAAACACCTACCAGCTGCCGCGGTGAACCGCGAGGAGGCGACCCGGCCAGAGGTTGCTGATGAAGTGATTCCTACTGTCGGCGCACCGCTGGTATGTGGGGGTCTGAGCGGCTCCGACAGAAAAAATATTGAAGGCAGGATAATAATCTGTATGAACTGACGGCACTGATTACGTTTTCAGGTGTATTTTCTCACTTAAACACATATTAAATCTACTTTATTCCCACCGATCACAGCAAATATAGCTGCAAGGCAGAGAAAGGATAGTGAAGCTCCGGCCAACGCGCGTCAGACACACTTTTGCACCGCACAGCCAGAGCAGCAAAGCTGCTTCAGCCGCACGTCAGAACTAACTGGTACAAGCAGCAAAAATGAAGCAGCAGACGCGATTTTGCTGCGTCCGATGTGAACGTAGCATAACTGCACAAAGATCGCCACTGTGCTAGCAACGAGAATGCTTTTAACTGGGGGGTGTAGCAGTTCTCGCCGTAAAGCAAGACTGACTCTCGCGAGACTTCTGAGCCTGTGGGTGCGGGTCGGTGCTCCTGCAATTGCAAGTGCGGTATTTCCCCCACAGACCACCAGGGCGGCCAAGAATACCTTTGTTCAACCTGAAATGATTCATTTAATCATCCAAAACGTTATGGAACACATTAATTAACTGAAAAATGTTGCATAGTGTGCCTTTAAGGCTACACAGCCGTTAAGTCCCAATTACTTGAGTTCCATTCACATTGTGCATGTGGAAATCCTATTACTTTCACTGTTAGGCCGGAGTTCTACTGTCTTTTTTCTTTGATTTGATTTTACCAAATGTCTAAGTGATCACTGATCATGATCATTCAGGATTTCTTTCAAGTACCTTTTTTTCCTTGGACATGATGGGTCCCCACTATCCTTTCAGTGTTTAATAATGCATTAAGGAGTTTTTGCTTGGGAGTGTCTGCAATCCTCTTATATGTTTTCTCTGCTTGATGGCAGCCAATGACTTTCTGAAGCAGACTATTATCTTTTCCATGTCCAGGGGATGTGTCGTTCAACAGGTTTTTTTTTTTTTTAAACGAGACCAGACACATCAGTTGAGTTTAAAATACTTGTTGTCTGTTGAAACATAATCACCCCTTCAGTAATTATCCAATGGGAGGCTGATACCTATTTGCTTAGGTAAATAAAGGTGTCATTTTTTAGGTCAGGCAGTGTATATTTTAAATAAAACTAAATAAGGTATCATTTAACAACAGTATTTAGCCCAGGTCTGCACTCAGTACATTATAGCCCTTCATATGCACTTGAAAGGAAAAGTTCTCCTAAAGTGAACAATGCTTCCACCCACTCCTCACTTTAACTCTCAGCAGCATTCATGGATTATTTCATTTTACTGAGTCACTTAATCAATCTGAGGTTTGTCAGGCTCCAGACATGCTTCCTCATATCTCTTCTTTCTAGTTTCCACAAATGGAGACGGATACTTCTTGAAATATGAAGAATTATGTTAAAATCAAAAAAAGATATTTCTTAACCTACAAAATTGACAGAAAAAATGAAAAATTTAATGCTACATTTATCCATGGATATAAAAAAACCTAAAAGACTAGCTATACAGAGTTCAGTTTTTATCCTCAAGAAGGAGCTCCATGAGCTGTCATCAGCCATGTAAAATATGTTTTGTTTTTCCACAAGGATGAGGGCACATATGGTCAAGCAAACCCAGTATCTTATGATTTAATGTCGCATTAGTAATATTTGCCAATCACTGCCCATTCAGACCTCTTTTCTCGAGTTGTGTTTTTAAATGTCCAATCAGGATTATTCAGATTTAAAGCCCAGGACTGGCGTAGTTCTAAGCCAAATCATGGCTGTGCTAAAAGGTAAATCAGTTTGCAATCAATTTCTCAACAGTGACCAAGTCCTGTGCAAAAAGGGAAAAACAGCCCTCGTTTAGAAAATTACTGATCTTATGAATCCGAATCTGAGGAGAAAAGCAATACAACAGATCACTATACAAAGTTGAAGAATAATTTCACAAGACACATATCAATAAGTCTCCCCATATTCTGTTCAAACAGAAGAAATTCAGATTTTTTAACTATGCCAAAACAAAAGGGCAACAGGCGTTTCATCTTTTTTTCCTGGAGCTTGTGTTGTTTTGTCGAGTGCTGCTTTTCCTGCTAAAACCTGTCATATAACTGTCCTCGCCTGGACCTTTTCCCCTTCCCTCAGTCCAGGGGTTGGACAAGAAACCATGAGGATCTATGGCACATAAGTGTCGGCCATCTTTGCCTCGGGCAGATAGATTTGACTGATCTAGAGAGCCCGTGCTGTTACATTTCTTTATCATTGTAGGAGCCATAGTGCATGGTGTTAGCAGCGATGTCAGGGAGAGACTGTTCAGTGTTTCTGACAAATGTTCGTTGTAGAGGGCTTGGTGGCAGCCATCCCTTCCTGTCCCCGCCTCTTCATCTGAAGGGTCCATGGAGTCCTGTTGGGTGAATCCGGGGCTGGTGCTTCCACCGCCGCTGCTGCTCTGACTCCTCTGTTTCCTGCGAGTCGCATGCAAAGTAAGAGCAGAACTCCGTCTATTTAGCAATGGCGACCTCTGGTTTGCTTTTTGTGTTTCTCGAGGGTGTAACACAAGGCTGGGGACAGGGCAGAGGAGAGGCACAGGGAGACTTAGGTGTTGAGGTGGGCAGATGCCAAGGCTGAGCCTTTCATCCAGCGTTGCCTGCAGGCTGCCATCTGAACTGCCCGTGGCCAAGGACGAGTCACTCTGGGATGGATTCTGCATAATCAAAATATTTATTGAATATTTTTTATTTATTTTGAAAGGTTAATGTATTTCAGTAACTCTAGCTAAACAAATGAAACTCATGTATAGCTCAACTACACAAAATAATATGATCTCATCTATTTTTTCTGTTAATCTTGATTGTGACTGGTAGCAATGAAGATTGTCTCAGTCGCCGCCCTGCTTATGGATGAGGCTTATGATACACCTGAGAGTACCACAGAGTATTAATTCTTAAAAAAAAAAAAAGAATTGAAAACATTTTTTTTTTTTTATGTTTTACAACTGAACAATTGACCTTGGTTTTATATTTTTCTTTTAATATTGCATCACTTTGTTTATATGTTAAGTTACTTTGTAGCACTTGGATACTTGCATGTAAAGTGCTCAATAAATTAGTATTATCTTTGTAATTATTTAAAATAAGAATCTTTAAAAAAACTGTAAAAAAGTATCTTGTAAAACACAAAAGTTGGTCTTTTGAAACTCAAAGTATATGTACTTAATATTTCGCTGGGTTTTGTTTATATTAACTACTGTATTGATGGCACTTTGAGGGGCTAAACCAATGTCTCTGCTGAGGTGTTCAGCTCAACTGCATCATTGGGTTGAGGGTTAGATTAGGTGGGGTTTCTGGCTAATTAAGAATTTCATGGTGGTTAAATCTGGTATTGTTACTGGAGTTGTGTGCCAGTGCAAAGTGTTGATGGAAAATTAAATCTGCACTGCCAGCAGGCTTCTCAGCAAAAGCCTGAAGTACCAATTCCCATGCTGAAACACTAGACACTTTCACAGGAACACATCAGAGAGAGAGGAGCCATAAATGAGGCGAAGCCATTTGAATGAGTAGGTCAGAACCAGGGACAACATGGCCAGGGAACCACACTTTTCAGCCTGTTGACTTTAAATATTCAGCTGGCTATTTCAGAACCTGATTGCTGCAAAGCAGATTGTCTGTAACATTCTCTCTGAGTTAACATGAGTAAAGCTGCAATCACATCAAGTGCAAATTTAATGGCCGAAGCAAACCATTTTCATGTTATCCCTATGTTGAGAGGGGGTCAGTGTTAGATGGAGTGAGGCAAAGGTCTCAATGTTAATGTGGCAAATGGGACGATTTTGGTCAATACAGTGAAGAGCACCAGTGCACATTTGACCTATGTGAGATGACATTGGTAGGAGTTTAAAAATCTACTTTTGTCTATGTTTGCATTGCAAAAACTATTCAGGGACTAGATATGGTTGTGACAGAGGGTGAAGGAGCTCAGTGTAGACAAGCTTTTTTCAATCAAAATGGAATATAGATATAATAATGTTGACAAAGGAGGAAATAAGTAATGTATTTAATGCTACGTTCACACTGCGAGCAGAAGAGGCAGCAGAAGCAGCTAGTTTTCATGCAAAGCTAATGGTTGACGTGCATCTTGGTGTGGTAAAATACACTATATTGCCAAAAGTATTTGCTCACCTGCCTTGACTCACATATGAGCTTAAGTGACATCCCGTTCCTAATCCATAGGGTTCAATATGACGTCGGTCCACCCTTTGCAGCTAGAACAGCTTCAACTCTTCTGGGAAGGCTGTCCACAAGGTTTAGGAGTGTGTTTATGGGAATTTTTGACCATTCTTCCAGAAGCGCATTTGTGAGGTCGCACACTGATGTTGGACGAGAAGGCCTGGCTCTCAGTCTCCGCTCTAATTCATCCCAAAGGTGTTCTATCGGGTTGAGGTCAGGACTCTGTGCAGGCCAGTCAAGTTCATCCACACCAGACTCTGTCATCCATGTCTTTATGGACCTTGCTTTGTGCACTGGTGCACAGTCATGTTGGAAGAGGAAGGGGCCAGCTCCAAACTGTTCCCACAAAGTTGGGAGCATGGAATTGTCCAAAATGTCTTGGTATGCTGAAGCATTCAGAGTTCCTTTCACTGGAACTAAGGGGCCAAGCCCAGCTCCTGAAAAACAACCCCACACCATAATCCCCCCTCCACCAAACTTTACACTTGGCACAATGCAGTCAGACAAGTACCGTTCTCCTGGCAACCGCCAAACCCAGACCCGTCCATCAGATTGCCAGATGGAGAAGCGCGATTCGTCACTCCAGAGAACGCGTCTCCACTGCTCTAGAGTCCAGTGGCGGCGTGCTTTACACCACCGCATCCGACGCTTTGCATTGCACTTGGTGATGTATGGCTTGGATGCAGCTGCTCGCCCATGGAAACCCATTCCATGAAGCTCTCTGCGCACTGTTCTTGAGCTACATGAAGTTTGGAGGTCTGTAGTGATTGACTCTGCAGAAAGTTGGCGACCTCTTCGCACTATGCGCGTCAGCATCCGCTGACCCCGCTCCGTCAGTTTACGTGGCCTACCACTTCGTGGCTGAGTTGCTGTCGTTCCCAAACACTTCCATTTTCTTATAATACAGCTGACAGTTGACTGTGGAATATTTAGGAGCGAGGAAATTTCACGACTGGATTTGTTGCACAGGTGGCATCCTATCACAGTTCCACGCTGGAATTCACTGAGCTCCTGAGAGCGACCCATTCTTTCACAAATGTTTGTAAAAACAGTCTGCATGCCTAGGTGCTTGAATTTATACACCTGTGGCCATGGAAGTGATTGGAACACCTGATTCCAATAATTTGGATGGGTGAGCAAATACTTTTGGCAATATAGTGTATGTTCGATTTTATTATTCTGATGCCTGCAGTTTGGATTACGTATGTGGGAAAAATGCCTTTCAGCCGCTGTGAACGGTAGCGGAAAACTGCAAAGAGGCGACCGGGCCAGAGGCTGCTGTTGAACTGGGTTCCTAGTGACAGAGCTTCGCTGGTGTACAGGGGTCTTAGCAGCTCCGGTAGAGAAATAATATTTGAAGGCAGGATCGTAATCTTTATGAAATGACTGCACAGAAGGATTTTTTGGGTTGACTTTCTCCCTTAAAAGATAATAAAAACTACTTTTTAGGATCGCAGCAAATATCGCTGCCATTGTTACAGGCAAAGAAAGGACAAGGGAAATACTTAAGTAGACTTTTTAGGTATCTATACTTTACTCCATTACTTATTTTTCTTCCTAGCTTTGACTTCTTCTCATTACATTTTCACACAAGTAAATATACTTTCTATTCCTTACATTTTAAAACAAAGATTACTCATTATTCTTGGCTTCGGTTTTATGTTTATAAATAATTATTTCACCTCCTGTGCGCCATCCACTGCAGATCATTGGTGCCATCCACCTCTAGTCAAAACTAGTGTAATTGGATGAGTCATATAACACAGTCATTGGTTAGTTATTTGTCAAATTTGTGGTGACGCCTAAGGAAATTTGAGAAGCAAGCAGGTGTTCTTCAAACTGCAAAGGTGAATTGTCTATGACAATGTCAGATAAAAAAAAAAAATGTCGAAATGTCTGAAAGGTCAGACACAGGTGAGAGCGTATCGGGAGATAGAGATGGAGACCAACAGGACCCCCTCATCCTTGGCCCTAATCTCAAAGAATTTTTCGAAATATTCGGAAAAATTTAGCATTCAGTTCATATAGTGGCATCTGGCTTTTTTTTTTAAAGGTTACTTAATACTTTTATACTTAAAGTATTTTTTGGAGTACATGCTTTTTCACTTTTACTTGAGTAAAGAGGTCAAGTTGATACTTCAACTTTTTACCAGTGTTTTTAAACTGCAGTATCTATACTTTGACCTCAGTAATAAATTTGTGTACTTTTGACACCACTGCCCAACGTGCATCAGACCGACTTTCTGACTGAGCAGCCGCAGCAGCAAAGATGCTTCAGCCGTGCACAGAACTAAGCTTGTACAAGCATCAAAAATGAAGCAGCACACGTGTTTTTGCTGCTTCTGCTGCTTGCTGTGTGGAAGTAGCATAAGAGGTTTCTAGGTGACGTTAAAAAGCCTCTAAACTGAGGCCTTCCTGCTCTGGCCCCTTTGTCTGACCAGCTGCCTTCTCTGATCCTGTGCTCCTGTCTTAGCTCCAGAATGCTGTGTCACCTAACCTTAATCTCCCCAAACTGGGAACATCTCTGGAGCATCTGCAGGACCCAGGGACACCAGCAGGTTTGTTCGGCTTTTCAGAGAAAATAGCTTTCCGCTATGCTGAGGTGAAATCGACAGCTAGCAGACTCAATTACATAGTGTAGTATTTAAATTGCTGTGCAAATTCCCCCACCAATGGAATAGCTTTGGATCATCAGGAGGAATTCCGCATTTGTTGTGATTGCACCATAACTCAGGGGTACCAACGAAGGGCACGCCTATCCTACTAGCTAGACTCTCCAGCTACAAATCCAAGTTAAGCTTAGCTGAACTTTGGAGACTTCTCTGATTAAAATGCAAATCAGCAAAGGTTACTGGTCTGGTAAAGTTAGGTAAAGCATTTCCAGCTAAAAAATTTGGTTTTTGATTTACTGTTTAATGATCATTATATTTATTCAGACTGCAAGAGACCATTTTAGGCTAAAGCAAACAGTAAAATGTGTACACACAATCTATTTCATATATATTGATAGAAAAAGGAGTGTGGATAAAAGGATGGAAAAAAAATAAACTGAAAGTGAACTGAAAGAGGTATAAAAAGACAAAGGCCACTAAAAAGGAAAAAATGAAGGAAACAAAAGCAAAGGCTACATAAGAGACTCTAAGGACCCCAAGCCAAGAACAACAGTGTGCACAGCGTCACTATCAGGCTTGGGGCTGGCAGGACTAATTAGGTGAGTGCCCCAGAGCATTGCTGTAGCAATTGAGGATCACAGAGGCACTCAGGCACGAGCTGAACAAACTAAGCAGGTACACGACAAGGAAAAATATCTGTTTCCATGGTTACAAAAAGAGCAAGAACCCAAAAAAGCTTTTTTTTTTTTTTTTTATTCTTGGTCTTTTTATGCAGCCAATGAAAAGGGAGTGTTTTTTCAATGTGGATTAAAATTCTTCATTAAATGGATATAAGAAATGTTCCTTATGAAAGACATGGATTGCATGTCTTTTTTTGGATTGGACACAGTAAAACTTTGTCTTCTTACCTGAGAGCTCAAATGCTTGTTATTAGCTCCAGGAGAGCGCAGGGAGGCCCAGGAGGCTGGGTTGGCAAGCATGGCTGGGCCTGTGTCTTTAGGAATTGTTCTGTCCCCATGACTATCTGAGTGTGCTGCGGCAGCTGGATGGAAAAAATCTGCTGGTAGGTGAAGTATGGCTGAAGTGACATCACGGGATCCACTGCATCTTTTTTCATCACCCTCTGTAAAGAGGGAAGACATTTTATTAGTCTTGAAATCAAACAGATTTAAAGTTATACTATTTGAGTGTGAATTAAATGAAACTACAGTAAAATCATAAACCCATACCAAAGGATGTTTATTGTTTTATTCTTTTTAAGGGTAACACTTGATTCTTCTTAAAAGAAACCGAAAATAGTTTTCTCCAAAACATACTCTAGAAACTGTTTAATTTGTTCATTACTGTACAGAGGTGTACTGTGGTGTACTTCATGTATCATAAAAAAATCACAGAGAATCCACAGCTGTCAGGATTTTATGTGGACCAAAATGCAGAAAAGAGAGTGACATCAATGGATTCAACCTCCGCATGTTTATTTAAATCTGTCGAAAATCTATAATAGATAGAAGTGGCATCAAAAAGGACAACATTTTTATCGTCCTTGAAATCCACTGTCTGTGAGCGCACACAGAAATATATAAATCTGGGATCCTTTCACAAGATGTGCTTCATGACGACTATAAATGGATAAATGGCAAAATAGGGTATGGCTACTGAAAATCTGAGCAAAGTACAAGCATGTTTACAAAAATTATCCACTGGAAAGTCATAATTATGTTGATTTACTATACAGTGCCATAAAGCACTCTGTGTTCTCTGTAAAAACAGGGAGTGACGGCCAATTGGTTAGGGAACAGGGCTTGGAATCCTAAGTTTCTGAGTCCGATCCCCACTCCCACAGACTGCTACTCTTAACCTGAACTTCCTCAGGCGCCCCCTGATGGCAGCCCACTGCTCCCCAAGGGGATGGGTTAAATGCGGAGGTAAATTTCTCCAATGTTAGCTTAATAAAGTTCAATTATTATTATAAACTCTTATTAGAAATGTAAACAAACAGCAGTGGTTTATATAGTACAGCTATGTAAACTTTTGTGTGTATTTTTACGGATTAACGGACAGAAGAAAAGGCATACTTAGACTAAAATTGGATGTTGTTTCCATCCCTATAGCACCAATTTAGTGCAACGTTTCCTTGTTAGTTCCTTTCATCCTTATAAAGGAAACACCAGTTGAGAGTAATAACATAGAAAAGGAAGTTTTTATATTTTTTGATGGGAATTCCTTCATTCTTTATTTATTTTCCTATTTGATATTTAAATAGGCTGGTCAGTGGGGCAGTGGGTAGCACTGCTACCTTGCAGCAAGAAGGTTCCTGTTACGATTCCCAGACCAAGGTCTTTCTGCATGGAGTTTGCATGTTCTCCTGAGTATGGTTGGGTTTTCTCCAGGTACTCAGGCTTCCTCCCACTGTCCAAACATGACTATAAGGTTAATTGGCTTCTCTTGATTTACAGGTTTACATGAATGGTTGTTTGTCCTGTTGGTCTCTGTGTTGCCCTGCAATAGACTGGCAACCTGTCCAGCCTTTACCGCGCCTCTCACCCGTAGACAGCTGGAGATAGGCACCAGCACCCCTCACGACCTTGCTTGGGATAAGCGTGACAGAAAATGGATGGGTGGATATTTAAATGTTAAATCTCATCCTCATATTCCTCTCTTTAAGGATCACAGGAGCTATGTGTACCACAGATTAGCACACAGTGACCAGCTGTGCATTAATCACACTGAAATGCTTATTTCAGTGAATTTATACATAAGTTGTGATATCACAGCGAGCCCAATGCAGAATAATGTCTGCTCACCTCCTAGGGACTGTTATCGTGGCAGCTTTGTTTATCAGACTGAGTGTGTCAAAATCACTACATGGGCCACCAAGTAGTGATAACACCGAAATAACACTGGTCAGCTGGCTATTTAAATGTACAGTAACATGAATTTAGGTACTTTGCATTAGTCATTGTGGTGAAAAAAAAATCTATCTTCTACTAATTTCCTTTTACATATATATATATATATATATATATATATATGTAATATACACAATGGCGTAAATATCGGTAAGCAGAGAAAGCAGTTGCTCACGGGCCCACAACCTCTTAGGGGCCCCATCAGTGACACCTGGTTGGCCCCCTACGCAATTGTAGACTAGGATGTCTCATTGCAGATGTAATGGTGCGAAAGAATTCCTCTCAAACCCACCTGAAACTAAGGTGACTGACCACACCGACCGTATTTATATCGCAACACATGCCAGATTTCAGCATGATGGTGTGCCATTTAAACACGACACCAATAGCAAAGCATACAGTGGTACTTTTAATTTCTCTGTTAATAACTAATTTCATCTCCCTGAAATGAGTCTTTTGGAACTTAGGATGTCTGTAACATGTGGTGTGTTGTCACCAATGGTTGCATTCAAGGTGCGCAGTCACTATTTTTCCATGTGTGATGTGTGATCATATACTACTGAGAATCACATAATTGTATCTTCTTGGTCGATTTAAGGAACTGTCGCCATATCCTAAACCATTATCATTTGTTGTACTTCATATGTTTTCATGACACCTAGACTATTTCTCCAAACTGCCTGTCTTTGTTTTGGCTAGAGAAGTGTGGAGACCTTCACAACCTTCTGCATGGTTAATTATGGAGAGACAACTTCTCGATAACAATACAGTGACAAAGAATATTTTGTAAATAATGCCCCAGTTGAGCTATAATACCAAAAGCCATGTAACCTCCCTCCCAGTAATGGTTACCTACTTGTGTGTGTGTGTTGACATAAATAACAAAATTCAGTAAATTAAATGACTGTACTAAATGTACTTCCCAATGGCAAAAAAAAAAAAAAAAGGAAAACAAAAATCCAAAAGGTAGGTCAAACAAGACTTCAATGCACTGTAGTACCTTTTTCATGTGCTGAGGTTCGCCGCTCTGGCAAAGGAGGAATTAGAAGTGGATGAATAGAATCCTTGCACTCCTGAACGCCACCATTACTCCCTGAACTGGAGAGGTGAGGTCTTCTGCAGACCTCCTGTGTGAGCAACTCCTCCGAACTGTTGGAGTCACTGCAATCCCTCTGAGAGTAGGATTAGAATAGTAGAGGAGACATTTTTAAGAAGCAGTGTAAGTAAAGGAATGCATAGAGTATTGGCACCACATCCAAATGCATAAGAGCTTCACTGGAGCAGTAAACAAATCAGACGGAAGCCTTTAATTTCCTCTCACCTTAATGGAAATCAATGCGCCCATCCCACCTCCAAACACAACCACACCTCTATACCTCGATGCAATTCTAATTAGGGGGGCCACATGCCGAAGGCATGGCCCACCTACTACTATCTCACATATTTATTCCGCGTATTATTTTTATTATAGCTTATAGTTCTCCTCGCCACCAAAACTTCGGCACCTAACTAGTCCCGCACGGTTTGGCGGATCGGGCCCAAAGTTGGCACACGCGTCGGGACCAATGGTGCGATGCGTGCTTGTATAAAACTTTCTCATTAGTCCGAAGGTTCGCGAATTATTAGCGAAAACGTCGCAAAAAAAATCCCATAGGAAATGAATGGGGAGAGGGAAAAAAAAAGCATAAAAAACAGCACTTCACTGTGTCGGCATACATTCATGTAGAAAAACAGTTTAAAGCTCAGTTTGTAGATAAATCCTTCGTCTATTTAAAACTGAAGACGGCATGTTGATAACTGCTACAGTTTTTGTATAATCAGACCTCAAGCGCCACAAAGTTTTAGCAAAATCCACCCTTCTAGAGTGGAGAGACTGAAAAGC